GGACGGTCTGTCTAAACCATCGAGAAATGGTAGAATGAAATATTGGCAAACCCCTTATGAGGGCCACCCTGTATTACAAAAAGGAAATCAGTCTTACCGAAAGAAGCAGTGGCTGAGAGATAAACTCACAACAGAGACCACATTCGAAACGATGGAGTGAAATTTCCTTGGGGTGAGCTGGAGACGGACTGGGGGGCAGATGAATGGTGTTCTGGGTAACGTGAAAGGCAGAGGCTACCTTAGGTAAAAAGGAAAATCTAGGGTTCAACACCACCTTGATCCTACATAGGGCCAAAAAAGACCAATTCCTTATAGGATAAAGCGGCCATTCAGGACACTCGACTTGCCTAGGTGATGGTTAGAAGACACACCTCTTTGCGGGTGAATATAGAGAGAGGAATGTACCAAATGCGATAAAATTGCATTTTTTTTGAATCAAGCAGTTTTGAATCAAAAGTCTCTGAATCAAGATAGCAATGGGGATGCCACAAGAATGTAGCAGGGCTAACACTGAGACCAGCACTTTTGGTCAACACCGAAGGTGCAGACCAGGGGCCAAATAGCAGGTCCATGAACTGAAAGTAGGGGGTCCCACAGCAAAGCGTAGGTGTGCTGGAAAGATGGGGAGATGCAGGTATGCAACCTTGATGTTCACAGAAGGCAGGAAGTCTCTCTGGTAAAAAGAGATACTGACAGCCCTGGTGGATTCCATGTGGAATTTCTGGGCTTGATTGAAGACATTTAGTTCAGAAAAGATGGGGGGTGATGCCCACTATGGTTTGAGAACTGTAAATAGTTCATCCAGAAGTCCTGAGGGTGATTCATGAGACCTGCTAATCTGCTAGGTTGGGGTAAGAAATTGAAGAGGGGACTGGGAAAAAAAATGTCATCTTGTAACCTCTGGAAAACACCTCTCGCACCCAAGCATCTGAAATGCAAGCTGCCCAACTGTCTGCAAAGCCTAACAGATGTTCTCTACTTTTGAAAGTGGGTGCACAACTTTATGCCTAGGAGAGTTGAGTTTGCCTGTGGATTTGGTGGACTTAGAGTCCCAGGTCTTGCGGGTGGCCTGGGGGCCAAGTTTAGGGGGTTAAGACCTGGAGGTTGTGTGAGTGGTCTAATGAAAAAAACTTTTCGTAACGTGCAGTAAAGGATGAACCTTCCTAGACTGTGCCTTAGGCCTCTTTGGGTGAGGAAGATGGGCGCTCTTGCCACCAGAAGCATCCTTGCTAATAGTGTCCAGAGTAGATCTGCACAAAGAACCCGCAACTCAGCTAAGTGGGAGAGCAGGATGGGGGTAGGGAATATGACAATATTTCATGTTACACCCTGAATATGGGTGTTACATGAAACATGGCTTAAATGGTAAACTTTGCGTTGACAAATTGAAGCCTTTGAAATATACAAGCGTTTGGGTGGCTACAAAGCCACCCGATTGCAACAACTAAATAGATACCCAACATGCCCAGGTAAAAAATACGTATAAATATTGGCCCTAGAATTATTGCTTTCACTCTGGCGTTTGCGGCGATACCCAAAATGTGAATCATGATCATCTTTGTCATACTTAGGCGCATCCGACGCGTGTGCTCGCGGGGGTGGGGACTTTAAAGCGTTTTACATTATTTTGACATTTATTTAATTTAATATTTAAAAAAAAATGCTTTTTTTTCAAATGCCTTTAATTGCTATCACATAGGGAAGATTACAGGCCCCCTATGTGATAGCATATTGGCAGTGACCAAAAGATCCCTAGTATTACCTTTACACTTGAAATAAGCTATTGAAGTGCAGATGGCACTTCAATAGCCGATTGCTGGGCTTCAAGAGCCCAACAATGATAGCTATGGGACCGGAAGTGATGCAATCTGCATCTCTCCCGGTCCATAGTGCGGGGAGATCGGTGGACAGACGTTGGCTGCGCTCCTCCCCAGCTTCCCACCAACATCCCAGATGCCAGTCCCGGGCCTGTAGAAGTGGCAGCGGAGCTCGGGAAACACGGCAGGGGTGTCGGGTGGGCCGGCAGTTTACCGGCCCGTAGAAGCGATCGCCAGAAACGCTTCTATTGTAAATCCGACAGTTGGCTTTACCAATGTAAACTGGCCCCCTGCCAGTGACGTACATAGTACGCCACTGGTCGTGAAGGATTAAATCATCGCCTATGACCAATTTTGGGTACACTCGTTTTTTTTGCGATTTAGTGTCTATTTACCTGACGTGACCCCATCTTTTATATTGTACTAAAAGATTGGGTAATTATAAATGGTTCATAGCATATGAAAGGGACTTTTTTCTTTATATAGTAAAGAATAAAAATCACTAAAAGAAAGCTCTGTGTCCCCAAAAAATGATACAAAATTATTTCTGTACAGTGTTAGATGATGGAATAAATGTCAAAGTACCCGTAGTGCCGAATACTGAAAAATGGCCTGGCCAGGAAGGGGGTTTAATACCCCGGTCTTCAAGTGGTTGATCTCCATTCTTTGACTCCCAGATCTGTTAGGTCCTCCTGCACATTACTAATCTATCTCTTCCCTCTTACTGCTAGATTTCACTTAAAATTTTCTTTGGAATTTTGGTTTTCTCTCATCTGGATCACATGGAATTGTGCCGATTAAGATATATCTTATGTGTTGTTAAGAGGCATGTGTAATCTTACTTGAATCTTGGTTTCCTTTGTGTACTACGTCCATATCTTTGCAATAAAATAAGAGTTTCCTGCTATAAAACTCAGCTCAGTGCTGCTCTCTCTCCTTGTGAAGGGGGATTGGTCTTGTATCCACCTGCCAGGATCCTCCAACATCTTTGCTCCCTGCACAGGCTGTGTGCAGCCAAGTGATGTTACCACTACTCTTATAAAGGTAATATCTGGGTTTAAAAGTACATTTTGTGTACACATAGTGGATTGATATAATTTGTGAGGGATTATTGAGGAATATATTGAAATGGTAGTTTTTTGTGCCTGGAGTTCAGCTTTAAAATACACAGGGTAAAACTTCTGCTAGCAGCTTTGCCTGAAATAGCGAGGTTCCTGAAACCTTTGTATGAGGCAATTTGTGATTTAATGGCCACAAATGATGCAACACTCAAAAAATATCCCATAAATATTCCACACTGAGAAAATGAACCGCAGCAGCTGTCACGTATATTATTTTTAAATGTTGTTTGTCAGTGATTCTATTTACTGTATATTTAGTGAAAATACATTTTCAATTCTCATATTTACTTGCTTGCTCCTCCATATTTTTTTTACTCTACTTCATATGGATTTGTAGATTCTCTCCCTACAAATATACATGACAAAAAAAACAGAGGTTACTTTTAGAAAAACTGTATGCCAAAATGATGAAAGACCTAGAGCAGGGGTGCCCACAATTTGTGTTAAGATCTACTTTTCAAATGACAAGCTACATGAGATCTACCAACGAAAAAAAAAACCTCCCTCGCTCTCCTGGCTGTCTCTCCTTGTTCTCTCTCCTGGCTGACTCTCCTCACTCTCTCCTGGCTGTCTCTCTTCCCTCTCTTGGCTGTCTCTCCTTGCTCTCTCTCCTGGCTGTCTTTCTCCCCTCTCTCACCTGCTCACCTTGCTGTATTTTGCAAACAGTGCAGTGCAACAGGCTGTGTAAACTAATATTCTTTGATGTAATACATAGCACTTCAACCACTAGAATCCACCAGAAAGGTGTCGGGAAGCTTGGCTCAGCAGACTCAGGCTAATAGGTAATCATGTGTGCACAGCTAAATAAATATACCAAAATGGATTAAAGGGGCCGCCATTCACACCCTTCGTGATTTACCAGCATCAGCTTTGAGAGCTACTGGTAGATCACGATCTACCTAATGGGCACCCCTGACCTAGAGCTACGTGAGCTACGTGCAGCTTAAAAGGGTAATTCCACTTGCTCAACAAATGTGAGAAAATGAAATTAGCCAAACAAATCTGCCCCCTCTCCCCTACACCACTTTTCATACTTGGGTGGAACCGCCATTTCCCTCCACGGCAGCCGGTGTATGGTCCAGTAAACTGCACTGCAGCCCTGCACTAAGCATCTTGAATAACACTTGCAAATACTGAGCACTCATTGGTCAGGTGACCATGTTGACCAATAAGTGCTCGTCATTTGCCAGCGTTACTCAAGATCCTTATTGAAGGGTTGCAGTGCCGTGTACAGACCATACACTGATTGCCACAGGGAAAGATGGCAGTTCCACACAAGGTATCACAAGCGAAGGCAGGGAGAGGGGGCAGATTTATGTGGGTCATTTAATTTCATTACTTTTGGTGAAAGTGGAATTACCCTTTAAATTATGTTCATAACCTGACTTCCTGTAAAAGGGTGTTTTGACAGCCAGTGGCGCCCACTAGCAAGATACTGAAGCTTGGCCCAGTGGGAGATTCCTCCATCCACAGTTTAGCGTAGATGGAGGAATCTGTTGGACTTTTTCCATCTGACCATAGACAATCTGCAGATAATCTATAGGTGTATGGCCAGCTTTAGGATTACAAAGCTACCATCAGATCGCCTATTTGCATTTTTATACTTTGCTGTAGTATGTCCATGTTGGCTAAATAGATGTTTGCACTTTTGCATTCTTGCTATCTCAAATAAGCACACTCTTTAGAATTAGTTTCCATTATTTTAATATTGGTACAAAACAATACAAAAGTTGCCATGTAAACAGAAATAAATCTCTACTCAGTATATGAAAGTCTGCAAGCAAACCATCAGTTCCCTATAGGTTAACAGTGAAAACTATTTTCTTTAAACATAATATTCAATGTAATAGCTGGCAGGGACATTTCATAATGTACAGAGGTGCTGCCTACTCCAGTATATGTAAAAAACACCCAAAAATGAAGTCGGTTTAGTCTTATAGCCATGTACAACTTGTGTCTAAAATTCAGGACCAGACCCAGCCTCCGTTTTGTGAAACTGTGTTTCTTTATGTGTAAGATTTAGAACTGAAGTTTCTCCATGGATCCCAGTGGTCGTGGATCCATTGCAGTAGTCTGTATACTCCTTTTATTTTTTGGGGATTCGGTTACCACACCGGTGGGCCAAATCGTCTGACTAGCTTCTCCTGGTCATCCAGATCTTTTTGGACCTTTTTTCTCATGTAGAATATGGGGCAGTCACGGCTGTAATCAAAAGCAAAGGGTTAAGTTGAAACGTTATTTAAAACACAGAGTTCCTCTTTACAAAGAAAAGCCAAACACAGATATGTTTGATCAGCTGGATCCCATTGCCCCAACTATCAAGGGAATCTGATAGGAGAAATGGAAAATAAGCGGCAAATAATTCACTATACTGATGTTTTTCCACTCTGTTAACTATAAAAAAAAGTTCAAGCAAATCAAACTCAATCCTCTAAGATACAAACTAAATAAGGCATACCAGAAAATGATTCTAGGCAATAAAAAGATAGTAATAATTCCTATCAGTAAACAAATATTACATTATATATGATTTACCACTATTATTAAAAGCGTGTTTACACTGCCGAGACAGCTGTGATCCCTGTGAAGTGCCCAGCAGTCAACTAATCAAATGGGTCAGGTCACGCAATTTGGGGAATTGCAGTCCCATGTTTTACGTCATGTTCAGGCAATGGTTATGTTTTAAATTACACTAGCAGAGCGGTCCAGTTGTGTGCATCCATGGTGAAAATGGCACTTATGGGATAAGAATGTGGTGGGATCTGGCATTACCTGCAAAGCATCTGGAATCAAATATCATGAAGAAAACCTGGTGATTACATTTGTGCCAGATAAATAATTGTGCACCCGGAAATATACTCAAAATGTATTACAGGATTAATTATTACTTACACAAACCACATATTTAGGCTAGGTTCACACCTAGGTGATTGCACTGGTAAGCTGTTTTGGCGCGGTTGTTGCGCGTTTTTGCTTTGAAATCCATGCAACAATGCATAGAGATGTCTGTGGGACCCAAACTGCACGATAAGCGCCTGAAATGAGCTCCTGCACCTTTTTGTGCAACAGGAATTTCGGCCACACAAAGATTTTTGCATGGTTTCCCCAATAGCAAAAGGCATCTCAAGAAAGAAGTGGACGGAGGAATAACCAAACATTCCATCCGCACTGTGTCTTGTCCCCCAGGAGGACTTGCCTATTCCAGATCCACCAGAATCCTACTCTCTGGACTCAGATGATGATAAAGACAATGAGCAGCTGATCCGGGGCAGTCGATGGCAGCAGACCCAAACTTTAGCCCACCGTACGCTCCTCCTGAACCACATCTAATTTCACAGAGTTAACTAAATGATCTGGTCAGGGATTTGGAATTGCCTAAGAGTAAGGCCGAGCTATTGTGCCCCAGATTACAACAGTGGAACCTCTTGCAGAGTGATATCGAGATCTCCATTTTCCATGATCGCCAAAATGATCTGGTTCAGTATTTCTTACTGGAAGGTGATTTGGTTTATTGCAATAATTGGTGTGGCACCATTCTCATTGCTATATCACATTATGCAGAATAGTTATGGAGCATAATCGCCCATCCCCCTCGTAATTTTTAATTATTTGGATGCAATTTTGCCTTGAAGCTGCATCTTGGAAACTGGAGCCAATTAATACTCAAGACTTAATTTTCCTTTATTAGTGACCCAATTCTGGTAAAATTTAGCTATTTTCATTTCCAAGGCTTTCTCCTTGTAGACCAGCGATATAGGTTGAAATAAGAAAATTTAAGATAAACGATAAAAGATAAACCTGTGCAATAACAGGGTCAGGCTAAAAAAGATTTGACTATCATGACAAGTCAAAAGCACATAAAGTTAGTATCTCTAATGTGTGTACAGTAGCTGGCCTGCCTGATTGCATTACTGATTAAAGAAACTGATTCAAATGCTATCTGGTCACACTTCAGGAGGGCTGTAGGGTAGGACAAATGAGAGACTTAGAGCCGTCTCACCGCTTTGCGTGTTTTGAAAAAAGCCTACTTGTAAGTTTAGCTATGCCCAGAGATGCGGTACGAGCGATTTAGTTCAGCCATCACTGACTTCAATACTTTGACTTCATCACTTGGAATAAGTATGCTGTAAGTAAAGTAAACCACAAAGTCAGACCTCCAGATCTGCATGCTTGTTGCAGGTCAGTTGCACAAAAAAGTGAAATTGGTATGTTATTATAACGACAAGACAATTAGCATTTTCAAAAGAATAGCTAAGCAATGGCAGCAGACATAATTTCTTCAGTATAGGCTTCCTTTAACAACTCGAGTCCCAGGTGGTGGTTTACAGATCAAATGGAGTGTGCCTTGTCAGGAAAGGGTGGTACCTGATCCTTAAGACCATGAATATTGGTCTGTCTGAGCCACTGAGAAATTAGAAACAGGTTCATCCTTACCGGGCCATCAGGAATAACAAAGAGTTAGTCTACCAAATAGAACCCAATACATAGAACCCAATACATGGCTACATGGAGATCTGATATGCTATAGTGACACAAGATTGGAAGTAATAAACCGAGGGGTAGGGGAAAAACTCTAGTTTGAAACCCCTGGAAACCACCTCTTGCACCAAAACACCAGAGATGCAGCCTTTTCAAATGTTTACAAAGGCAAAACAGAAAAGTTTGAGGTTGTAAGGTAATGAAAATGACTTTTCTTGGTCTTCAGCAAGGGATAAGTCTTCCCAGACTGTACCTTATGCTTCTCTGGCTGCTGAAGAAGAGTACTCATGCCACTGATGGAATCCTTGATGAGGGAATCCAGGGCAGCTCTGAAGAGGCATTGGTCCTTAAAGGACAAACTGAGCAAATGCTTTTTAGATGCAGGCTCTGAAGAACAACAAAGGGTCCTCCTCATGTTCACTGACAGGAGACTCATACAGGAAATATTACAGGAGACCTTCAACATCCCATTCATGCTGTAGATTAAAGCTGCAGGCATGAATTTTAAACACTTTATGACCAAGGGAATAATTCCATAGTGATCAGATACCTTTTAATAGCCTTAGACCAGTCAGTCAGGGTCTGAGAGATAAAGGTCACTTCTAAAACAGTTTGCAGTGTAGGACCTGCCAGGGAGAACAGTTCTTCAGAAAGGACCTCCAGTTGCTTGTTGGTGGGGTCCCTAAAGACAGGTTCATTCTCCACCAGGATGTTATACACTTTGTTAAAAAAAAGTGGGTTGCCCCTCTGTGGATTTCACAGTATCCTGTTTTAACAAATTCCTCTTCAAATGGGCATATTATTATACAGGATTCATATAGCGCCAACAGTTTGCGCAGCGCTTTAGAATATAAGGAAGACATTACAATCACAATACAAATCAAGACAAGATGGAAAGGAGGGCCCTGCCCGTGAGGGCTTACATAGGACTGATATGCACTTGGGAGGTACAATCATCATGTAAGGATGTTTCCTGTCTCCATAAAGGAAGACTGTGAACAGTAGGGGCACAGGAAAGGTCTTGGCGGTTTTGGGAGTTCTAAAGGATTGTAGACAGAGTACACTGCTGGTAGTGGCTACAGGCTAAAGTTTTGGGTGGTGGATACTTTATCAACAAAAGCTGAAGCTGTCTCTAAGTTGAAGAGTGATGGCAGAAGGCTGTATCTCAGAGGCAGGTTCATCTTTCAAGGACTGGAGAGATTCAGCATCAGTTTTGGAGGCTGATGGCTTGGATCCTGCTAAAGCAGTGGGCAAATCAGATAGAGAATCTGCAGGGGAATGTACGGGAGCACACTTGTGGCCTCTGTGATCAGAGTCAGGAAGCATTTGTCCTATTTGGCTAATAAAATACTGCAGGGAAGTTCCATGTGAGTTACACCTTCCAAGCAATAGCAGGAAGTTGCTTGCAAGCAGTACCAGGAAGTTGCTTCCTCAAGGCTGGATTTCGGGGGAAAAGACCACACCTGACCCTCCCCCACCCATCGGATGACAGCATTGCTCCAACCCTCAGTGTTAACCCTCTTGTACCACAAATATATGAAAGTGGGAATATGAAAATGCTTAGCATACCCATAACAAGGTGGTTTCCAATGTTCAGCCCAAACAGCTTACTCACAAAATAGGTCTTCAGAGACAGGGCAATTGCTGAGGCAATGACACAGCTCTGGACCTAGAAATGGTTCTATAGCTAACTTTTTAGCAGTATGCAATGTCTGCAAAGCGCCTCAAGTAGAACACAGTGCCTGGAGGCCACATTCAAGGATAGCCCTACAATGTCCAATCCAGGGTCCAGGAAAAGAATTCCAAAGTCAGGCTAAGGAAATGCCAATCTGGATAGCTGTCATGTACAGACTAACTCAAGCAGCAATGTAGCAGGACTCTGTATTGAAGAAAAAAAAGATAGTAAAAAAAAAAGTTTAACTTTTCTCAGTTTTGCAATCATTAATTTTCCTAGGACACTAACAAAAAACTGAAGCATGCTGCGAGCAGGAAGGGTTAACTTGGTCATTGCCAGCGTCCAATACTCTTGTAGGTGGCAGTATAAGACTTTGTGTCCCTCAATGGAGAACAAAAAATAAGTTTCTGGTTAACAAAAAGGTAACGGTAGGCAGGACTTTTCAAAGTTTAAAATGAAGTACAAGTTCATTAAAAAAAAAAAATCACAACCAAGAGGTCACACATTAGCATCAACTGACATTCCTCTGCTATCTTGGAAAATAAAGGAAAAACATATTCACCTTGGCCCCTCCTTTTGCGTAGGAAAATTTATGAACGTTATAAATTTAAAGTGGAGTAAAAAGAACACAAATGTGCCATAAAGCATCAGGCTGACAGTCTTTGCTGCTTTTCTCATAGACCTTTGTACCGGGCTGAACATGGGGCACCGCATTAACGGTCGTATGCACTAAGCACCTGCCATCAGTGCCCAGTGACCGTGAGACAGTTTTCTCTCCCTGGCTGCTGCTCTCCTTCTCTAATCAGCTCAGGTTCAGTGATAAGAGATCTTTGGGAGGTGTACTCTGTGTATGCTGAACTCCCACCCCTGGCAGCTGGTGAGCGGAGCAAAAATCAGGATGCTGGATTACCTCCAGTTTGCTTTTCCCTGGGGAATTTGGAGGGGTTTTGTATGTGTGAGCACGGTTTACCAGCTGATGATGTATGAAAATCTCATAGGGACCAGATGAAAATCACAGTGTCTGACTCTGCCCAGTCTGCGCTCTTATCAGTTAGCAACAGGTGTGATAGATACTTGTATTTACTTACAATGTCAACAGTCTCAGTCTATCAGTGTGAGCATTAGGCACAGATTTGTAGACTGAAGAGCACCTTTGATGGCTGTGGACAGTAGAGGGCAGTCAGATTTACATTTATTGCCTGAATGCCCTCACACATCTGAGGTGGCTGCTAGATCCCTGAACACAAACAGTACTGGGTGAAAGAGGCATGCAGCAGATACTTTTGGTGCCAGTTTTTGAGGGGGAAAACAGAAGTGGCTGGTTGACCTGTCATCATTGGGAGAACGGCGACAGGCCCGAAAACCTCAACCAGTCTTGGCCAGTGATGTCTGCAGGTGGCTAATGGACATTCTTTTCAGATTTCTAACCAATCTAATTGCAGACTGGTGTCTATAGGCACATACAAGCTAGCCATAGACTTCAGTCCATACCCTTGTAAGCGTGTTCTAGTATATAGAGAATGGAAGTGCAAGAAAAAAAGCTGGTTTATTGGAGGGAAGACAATACCAATTAAAGTCATGCCTCCTAATATGTCCAATTAACCCCCCCCCCCCATCAAAAGAATGGCCTACAGTCTCAATGTATACCCATAGACCAATTTTAAAGATCTCTAAAGGCTGGATAGATATATCATTGAAATTGAATGATGAAAAAGAAATATATGGTTTGCACCAATGCAGGTAACCACTGCAGTTCTCAGTGTTGTACTGCATGCATGCAGGGCCGGCGTTAGCGCAAGGCAAGATGGGCACTTGCCTTACGGCGCCAGGAAACAGGGCGGAAAAGTGACAGTCGCCCGATCGATATGAGACTCAGTGTGTGGGCTGCAGCTGCGGTGCTGACCTGTTCAGTCTCACGTGTCAGACTCAGTGACAATCTCACTGAGTGTCTCGTCCTTCCTTGGCTACGTCAGTGAGTGACGTAAGAGGCCCCGCCCCTGGTCGCTCAGCCGCATGTGAAGGACTGGAGCAAGGGGTTCCAGGAGGCGGAGCAACGGACGGACCGGACCAGCAGGCAGTGTGGCGGCAGTAATATATTATTGCTGTGGGGGGGGGGGGCAAAATGCACCTTCGCCTGAGTTGGCAAAAATCCTTGCACCGGCCCTGCATGCATGTCCTTTAATGCTCCTTTTTCATCAAAAAAAATGATTGAGCCCTGCCCCACACATGCATTTAAGAGCATCTCCAGCAAGGGGGTGGAAGCTACCATAACTGGCCAGGGTTATGACTACTCATCCTGCTACAGAGCAGAGGAAACTATCCAACAACCCTACACACTCTGCTGTCAAGGCCAGGGGCCCACTGCTTATCATTTAGAGAGATTGTTTTTTTTTTTTTTAAAGGACTGGCAGATCTCTCCAAACCAATTGTTCTTGAGGAGATATCTGTCTATATATGGCCATCCCTAACTCATTAAACTGCTTCTTATTACTCTCTAGGACCAACCATGGGATGCATCTATTACAAGCAGCTCTGGCTCCTCCTGTGAAAGCCTTCAGGATGCTTTATTTTTTTTTAATTCAGATAATTTTTCTTTCATTTTGTGTAATACTGAAACAAAACAACACACCTCAAGAAACATCTGGTTCTTACAAAATCATTAGTGATGCACTGAATTCTGATACTGGTATCGGTGCCAAGGTATTTGGGAGAGTACTTTTACTCGCTCAAATGCTCCAATACCTAGCCCGATACTTCAGCTTTCAGTATCAGGAAGCTGGGCAGCCAGCCATTAGATGCTGCACGGCTGGCTCCATGCTCCCTTGTGACGAGGGAGCATGGAGTCGGCTTCCCGGCCAATCAGAAAGCCGGCTTCATGCTCCCTTGTCACAAGGGAGCATGGAGCCAGCTTCCTGGACAATCAGGAAGCCGGGCACCGCATCATTACACAGCGCCCTGGCTTCCTGTTTGGCCAGAAAGCAGGCTCCATGCTTTCTCGTCACCTAGTCATGAGAAGCATGGAGATGACTTCCCTGCTAATCGGGAAGCCGGGTGGCGAGTCTTTACAGGCTGCCCAGCTTATCAGGAAGCCAGGTGGCGAGTCATCACACCCCGCCTGGCTTCCTTAATAGGACTTCCGGTATCGGTGAGTGCCGAAAAAAATAAATATTTGGTACACGCACTTGATACCGAAAAACCGTTATCGGTGCACCCCTAAAAATCATAAATAACTGAAGACACTCAATGAACAGAGCACGGGGCAATTATGAATAATTCAGTCCCTGCAAAACAACATTGATGAACATATGAGAACACAGTTTTGGCTAGATGTAGTGATCATATTAAATAGAAAAAAAGATATGGAACATGGCACCTAGCGCTCACACCTCGGGACAGAAAGTATACTCGTAATTTACAAGTGTCACAGTTATCAAGTGTGTTAGACCAAAAGTGGGCAATGGGGAGCTATCCATCTTGACCAGATAGAGTCAAACCTATTCCTAGAATGTTGAAGCCAATGAGTGTGCTTTTCAAAGGCCATGTCCCTATCGTTCTGTAGGTTAGGTGGCAGTATAACCCAATAGTCTTAATTCTTGTGCCCCTCAATAAACTACAAGAATTGGACTTTACAGTAAGTACAAAAATGTTTTGTTTTTTTTTGTTAACAAAAATCTCATACAAATGCAGCCTGCTTCGAAATGCCCACTCTCCTGGACTAACATCCATCCATCCATCAAGGCATTTGAATTACATAACTCCTCCCAAGAGGCATCCCACTGCTTGAATAAGGGTTGAGGGCTCTTCAGAGGAGTGCAGAGGCAGGGTGCTTTGATATTTTCAGGAAGCCATGTATAGCATGACCAGCCTGCATTGCACAGAGATGTACAGGGACACAGTAATGACATCACTGGGTCTAAAATAAGTTATGTAATGAAAAAGTTTTAAAAAAGTACAATAGCATGTGGATGCTTTATCTTTTAGTTGAACCCCCATTTTCCTGTTACAGCAGTTAAGCAAGGTGTGTTAATATCACAAGCCAATAGGCACTAGAGCTAGACCCACTGCTAAATACTCCGCACTTGGAAACCGACCTGATCTGACACCCGCATTGTTACTGTGCAAATCAAGCCTGTGTAAGGATACTTGTGCTGAGGAATGTGACTGTTGTGTGCGAGGACACAAAGTAGCATTTTCCCTGACCAGAACAATTTTCACAAACCCTAATATGATGGGGTACAGGACTGGAAGGATAAAAAGATGTAAAATTCAAGTTTGGTTATAAGAAAGAAGTGCTTCACTTAGTTTGGAAATATTGTTCTAGATTTAATAGTGCACTCCTACAATTCAGTACGTGTCTCATTATCAATAACAGGGTTCATGGTCTTTCACTTCAAGTAATATACCTTAAATTGTATATCATACATGCATACAGGAATGATTGCTTTATTTTAATGCAGCATAAGGTCCCCAAAACTGCCCATACAACCTCCAACAATATACATTCTGCATTGTATTGAAAAAAAAACCCCTCAATTATGTGCTACTCTTACCTTGTACACAGGACATCCTCATGTAAACTTCCCTGACAGCGCTGGCACTGTGTCCATAAGCGAGAAAACTTCTCTTCCAGAGAACCCAGATGAGAGATCTTATAAAATAAATAATAGGACAAATCAAATTATACTGCAAGCAGCACAAATAGACAGTTTTCAGAAAAGTTTGTCAAGTCCACACTGACAAAGATTTTAGGGCTGATTTATTGATTATTGGACATGATACCTATAGCATTAGACGTGTTATTTTGTAATCTGCATAGCAAAAAATACAACTGCAGTATGATTGATCACTGCCATCACTTCCCCTTGGCGGCTACAGAATCTATTAGTCAGTCCTGTGGATAGGATAAGGAGTATAACATGTAAAATATGGGTATTGTAGGATTAACCAAACTGTTTTTCTTAAAGTGTACTATACTTGAATAATGTACTATACGTGAAGTAATGGTTTCCCAGAACAATAAGTATAACAGGCATAGACAGGTCAGAATCAATAGACTCCAGTCCTGTGGCACTTGGGCAGATGACCAGCACCAGTATTTGGAACTTAAAGAGGAACTCTAGGATTTTCAAAAGTTAACCCCTGCAGTGGGGCTACCCCATGCAGGGGTAAAATAAGGGCAGCACCAGGGGGTAAAAAAAAGGGCAGCACCAGGGGGAAAAAAAAAAAAAAAAGGGCAGCACCAGGGGGAAAAAAAAGGGCAGCACCAGGGGGTAAAAAAAAAAAAGGAAGGCCTGCCGATTAATCCTCTATAAATTGGGCCCAGCCCTAGCACAGCATTGCCAATATGGTAGTTCCATTGCACCCCCCTTATGATAGAAGAAGATATATGAAGAAAATTGCCCCTTCCCCCTCTGTGAGGGAGGGTGGGGGATAAATAATTTTAAAATATTAACCGGTGAAAGTGAAATTTGAAGCTATAAAATAATGTATTTGTTATTTATCAATCACAGCTCCTAAGATTTGCCCCATAAAGGTATATGGTCAATGCTGAGACCAACTCACCTCTTTCTGGTGTAGTTCAGATTCTCTCCCCTTGCAGTAATTGCACACCGCACCTGAAACAACAAAAACATAAATTAATAGGGCTAAAAACCATGTTTACAACGTTACATAACTTAATTTCAGGCACTTCTTACTTGAAGCTGTTTTTGAAAACAAAACTACTGGCCCAAGCCAATTATTTCCCAATGTAAAGTTGTCAGTATGACAATTGTTTTATAAATGGGTAAGCTGACTGCACAGAATTTCCATTGAGAAACCCATTTAAGAGGACCAGTAACTTAAAATGGGACCAGTAGCTTCATTACAGAGCAGTTTTTTTCCACAGTACACTCTTTTTATAGAAAGAATTGGTCTGGCTCTTGGTGAACCATTTACATTACAATGTCAACAATTAGGAAAAGCCTTGCACACCAGTGTTGAAGAGAACCTGGCCTGGCCTAAAAAGTGTCAAAAGGTAACCAAATTGCTGAATTAAAAATGTTGCTTGCAGGTACCTGCTTTAGGTTTTCAAAGTGACGCCCTGCATACATAAGTCCCACCACCCTTCATTTATATGTCAGAGCCTCTTCTGCCTGCTGGGGCTCTGGCAACTGACATTTGTATGACAGAGAAGGGGCTCAATGCCAGAAGTTGCAGGTCTTAATCTTGACTTGGAGAGAAGACAATGTCACAAGGCTAGCCTCAGCATGCAAGGGGCATCACGTGAACTCTGAAAGCACTGCAAGGTTCCTACAGATCACAATTGTAGTTAGCTTAGGCAATTTTAAAGTCAGGTCAGGTTCATTTGAATCTTCTTTCTTACCTCGCTCATCTCTTCTATCAAAGCCACCTCCTACCCAATACTTTGGAAAGTGGATAGGTAGCACTAAATCCTAGAAATACGTTGGCTTCCTCTCTATGATCTTATGACCTATACTAAAATAAAATTGTATCTGAGCTATTAATCTGTGGTGTGGTGCTTCAGTCTTAGATCTGCTCCTACCTGATAGCCACCTTAAGTTTAGAATAGAACTTCTTTTATTTGCGATCTTAGTGTGGTATACTGTATATTCCACTGAAATAATTTTGCTAGATCTGTTCAATAGGTGCAAAAAAATACATGTTTATCATGTCAGAAATTCAGAACGGTCTTGTCCTGTAGTTGACACACCTCCTGCGTTATCTTCTAGTTCTTATCATTGATTACAGAACAATTAGTTTCTATGTTGCAGAAATAAGAGTTGGAGGGTTTGCGTAGTTTAGCAAAACTGGACAGAGCTGAGACCCCAAAAATGCTGTGTGTTGTCAGCCCATAACAGAACTTAGTAGCCGAGTGCATTTCTAGCAGATCAACAGGTAATGTTTTAGCACTTACAGGGTCTTTAAAAGGGATAAAACATGGGGAAATGCCCAAGCATTGCACAAAAGATGCGCTAAAAAGGATGCCCTGGGAGAGACTAAGCTAAGATCCAGGCCAGCCGTGTCTATGGAAAGATGGAAATGGTCACTTTAAGTAGATAAACTATATCAAGTAGCGTCATATCCTTTGAAACGCCAAGACGAAAATGTAAAAACCAACCACGGAGATTTCACTAATCTTTAAAATTATGTAATGTTAAATAATTTACTCAGAAAACTATGTAGTACATGTTGTCATTCTTCTAGTTGACTATTAAAAAAGAAACCTAATTGGTTACATTGTGACATACATTTTAAAGAAAACAAACGACAAACGCACTCAACAATTTACCAGTTATACAGTAAGGTGCACACGAAATGGACTTTGAACAGTAAAACAGTAGAAAGGCATCATGGCACACTCACAAAACCAGCATGTAAAACAACATGTCTCACCACTAAGGATAATGACAGAGGTTTGGATACACGTCTTCAGCCGAGGATCTGCAAGCCGCACTGCCGCGCCAAGGAACCTCTTATAGTGCGGTCCTAACTCTAGGTGCCTACTACTATATGTATGCGGATCTATACTACTACTATATGTATGCGGATTGCAACATTTTGCAGCCTTTAGTTACACAATTCTGCTTTGCAGTTGATTGCAAAACTGGAGGGTTTAATAAGCCATGCTGACCTTAGCACTTTTGGTTGATAAATAGCTGCTGGAGAGGAGTTTCAAGCTTCTGTCAATTTTGCCTATACAGGCATCAACACACTCTCAGCTAGAGGTTGTCTGTTAGAATATAGCTCACTTCCCACTTATTGTCCTATTTCAGAACCTAAAACTGCAAAACAAGACAAGCAGTAAACCTAATCTCAAAGGAGCTTACATTGGGCAAAAATAGTTATTTACTTTTGGTTTGCAATGAGTTTCTCTTTATTGGTATTATAGGTTTTATGTCTTCAAAGTGTAATTCCATCTTTCAGTGATAAACAAAGAACAGTTTCCCCAGTACTTTTTGTCCTCTTTTTTTCAATCTCTGCCAGCTTGTCTACTTTTGTCTCTAGAAAACAGATTTCTAGGCTTCAATAGACATATAGGATGCCTAGCTTCATGTCACTTTTCTTCCTTCTCATCAGCGTTTTCTTCGCTTTGCCATAGGAGCAGATTACTTTCAGTTTGTAGCGATCCCCTTTGGTCTGTCTACTGCCCCTCGTGTGATCACAAAAGTACTGGCACCTATACTAACCCTGTTACTTCCCCAGGGAATATATACTGTTGCAGGGTTATTCACTAAAGGGTAAAGATTTCGGAGCAGGCAGGAGAAGTGAACAATCAACGACAAAATAGCAGATTTAAAAATTCCGCTCACTTTCCAGTTCGGCTATGTTGTCCTAGATTTTTCACTTCTCCTGTTTTCTCCAAACTCTTCACCCTTTAGTGAATAACCCTGTTGGTAAACTACCTCAACAATCTTCTCCTAAATGTGCAGTTGGATCTGACAGTGAGCCTTCGTAGTAATATACAGATGTTGGATTGCTTCGGTTGGATAATAAATTATAATCGAAAATCGTTGCTGACTCCAACTCATGTCTTGGTGTATTTAGGACTCATATCCAAGTCTCATCCCAAAGTCCGGTTTTGCATGCGAGTCATAGGAGTGATGGTCTCCACTTTCAAAGCAGTCCCATTCGCACAGGCTCACTCAAGGCTATTACAGCTAAGCGTTCTGAATTCCTGGGACAGTCTTTATGGCTGGATCCCCCTATGCGTCTTTCACCAAAAGCGAGACTTTTCTCTGAACTGGTGGTGGGTAAGCCCAGCTCTGTTCTTAGGGAAGTCTTTTCTCCCATTCCAGTGAACAATCTCATCTCCGGGCTCCAGTCTTTCAGGCTGGGGAGGAGCCTTGGGTATCTGTTGATTCAGGGGTCATGCAATCAGTAGGAATCAACACTGCCAATGTCTTAATACTGAGGGCGATCCTCCTTGCTACATAAATCATCAGTGAACCACAGGAAGTTATGCAGATCAAAAGGAAACAAAAAAGATTCTCAAAGAGGGGAAGCTCATGTACCGAGTCTTTCTGCAGTCTTTATTCCCAAGGTGGAGAATCAGCAGGCAGACTTCCTCAGTCAGCAGCAATTAGATCAGGGGGAACGGTCTCTGAATTCAGAAGTTTTCCATCAGATCTGTCATCCATGGGTGTAGACCTTCTAGCATCTAAGTTCAACAACAAGCTGGACAGGTTTGTATCCAGAAGCAGAGGTCCAAGAACCTTTGCAGTAGATGCTCTTGTAGCTCCGTGGGACCAGTTAAACCTTATCTATGCCTTTCCTCTACTAACAATTCTTCCTGGTCTCCTTTGCAGAATAGCTCCAGAAAGGATTCTGGTGGCTCCCAGTTGGCCCAGAAGAGTGTAGTTTACAGATATTCTCAGAATGTTTGTGGATCTTGCATGGAGACTTCGGTCTACTCCCTCAGGGTCCAGTTTTTCACCCTGCTTCCCAGTCACTGGCTTTGATGGCATGGCTGTTGAAGTCCAGGTTCTACGGGACAGGGGACTATCAGAAGATGTTATCCCTACCTTCATACTGACACAGAAGCCTTTGATTTGTAGGTTGTATTACCAGACATGGAAGGCATACTTTGCTTGGTGCAAAGGGGAATGTTTAGACCCAAAAGTATTTTCAGTAAATCAAATTTTGGATTTTCTCCAAATGGGGTTAGATCTGAAGTTAGCGCAAAGCATCATAAAGGGTCAGATTTCTGCTTAGCAAATCTCTTTCAAGAACCCTTGGCCTCTCATTTGCTCATTAAAATGTGTACACAGGGCTTTGCTCATTTAGCTCCTCCTAGGAATCCCCCAGTTTCTCCACGGTACCTTAAATTGGTGCTTTTTTTCTATTCCAAAAGATGCTAAAGAGTTGTTGAACTCCTTAGATGTTGCAAGGGTTTTGTAAGCATATATTGATGTCACCGCATCCTTTAGACAATCAGACTTGCTGATCATTCTCCCGGTAGAATTACGCAGAGGTTTCTCTGCCTCTCTCTCAACTGTAGTCGGTTGGATAGGCGAGTCATTATGTAGGCTAATGCTAGTAAGGTAATGCCCCACCTTGTTTAGCCAAGTCTCACTCTACAAGATCTGTCAGTACTTCTTAAGCTTTTTCTCACCAGGCTTCTACCACAAAAATTTGCAGGGCCTCTACCTGGTCATCTCTTCATACCATCACAAGGTTTTATAAGGTGGATGTGCAAGCATCAAAAGATGCTGAATTTGGCCCTTTGGTCCTGCAGACAGCAGTATAGATTATCCTAAACTATGCAGGCTGATGGTTGTGATCTGTGTCCACCCCTCTATTATTGTTTTTGGACATCCCAATCATCTATATTGTCATGTATCCAGTACTGTATGATCAAGAACATAGGATTTTTGACTTACCGGTAAAATCCTTTACTTAAGAGTACATAGGACCCTGTCCTCTAATTGCTTGCAAATAACTGAGAATCTGAGGTGGTGGGAGGAGTTATATAGACACCAAACAGCTGTGACCAGTGTCCAATCACCTGCCGGTACACTATATAACCCAATAATCTAGATTGTCCTGTATTGCAAAAGGAATTCACAGGTAATATAAAAATCCTATGTTTTCAGTTCTGAATCTTTCCGTTTTC